ACGATTACGACAAGAGGTTTTGTCCCAGGAAAATCGTGCGAGGTACATGGATGAGCAGCTGGAGTTGACGCACATGGGATCCCCACCACCCTCTTACCGCTCCTCCTTTAGGAGTGCCGTTTCACGTGTTTCTAGTTCTTCACCGCCATCCATTACCTTCGCACGGGATTAGCCGCTGATGCAGCCTCGTTGGATAAGAGGTTATCTTGTTGCGAGCGAGTAAAATCTACTACATACCATTGTGATACACCGGTCCGCTGTACGATCCCATTGCCTTTTTCTCGTCGTCGTTCTGCTTCATCGTATTATTCCTGTATATCGCTCTGAAAGTGTTGTTCTTACACGAATGGAGATCGTTTCTGTCGGGTTTCAGTGGATGTAAACTGATGTGCGCAGTACACATTTAAGACATTTAAGAAGCTGCCTGCTCATTATGCTGGGGGGGGGGATATACCATTCTTATTATTTCTTGACGTTATAAATCATCAACGCCTGCAGAAGAAAGCCGTGTCGGACATCTCATAGGACGAAGAGTCTGACGCATAAGGTCGAGCCACCTTCAAACTTGGTGAGCGCGCCTGCCGAAAGAGTGTCAAGAGAGCTATGTCAGTTTTACAGAACTGATAGCCAACGAAAGATACTCTGAGGCATTGTTAGAGGTGCCGACGACGACAAGAGTATATATTAGAGTGTATTGCCGGCATGCAGTTGGGGACATCTGAGAACCTTGCCAGAATAGACGGCAGCAGCTACAACCAGAATGAATCAACTCTCATGAAACAACAATAAAGCCGTCATCCACGCTCATCCCAGCCGATCCTCGAAGTCATCCCGTGAAAAGATGGTTCGTTTCTTGGTCTGCTTCACCCGATCGTCTTTGAGCATTCTGATATCAAAGTCAGAATTAGCGCCAGCAAGATATCAAAGCAAGCAAACGCACCTGGCATCCACCCTAGCATCGTCACCCTCTACACCGACGATAGCTTGCGGCGTCTTTGCCTCAATAACCTATACCCAATTTCAGCCAGTCCATAATCTGTGAAATGCGAATCGTACATAATGGTTATCACAATGCGGACAGAACTCGTCGCTCTCCTCGTAATTCCCCATATCCTTACGGAAGGCCTTCTTGCATTTCTTGCATATGAACGCCATTTCGGTGGTCCGCGCCAGTGGATGTGTCTCGGATTCGGCGTGGCACTCGGCACAGTCGAACCATTTCTTGCAGCAGGGCGCTCGTATGGAAACTTGAGCGTTTAGAACGTGTTTGCTGACGATGAGAGGTGTAAGACAGCAGGTGCGTACTGAACGAAGGGCACTGACCACATCGTTAGAGGATAAGAACGGAAGGATGGTGGTGGTCACCGGACAAAGACAAAAGCGTGATGCAAGCAAGTCTCAAGATGACCTACGACAATTTGTTCTTATTATTTACATGAACACAAGTACGTAAATTATGCATGTGGGAGTGGGGTGTAAGAGACAAGGGAGCATTGTAGAGCATGCCTGTAAGATGGTACAAAGAACTGGCTATGTGTTTACTCTTGGTAAGGGTAAGCTAACTTCGGGGCATCCTTGCGCCGCCACAACTTCTTCCTAAAAATAATGGGATCGCTTAGAGATTGCCAGCGAAACAAGGACGTAGTACTCACTTTTTCTTAGTAGGAAGATGCTCAGCAAACACTTCCACACAGTACTTGGCTTTGAATTCACGAATGAATCGAGGATCCCTGAGTAGCATTAGATTTGAGTATATCTACTCGTAAAAAGCGCACCAAAGTTCGCTAGCAATTCCAAGATCCTTGCAGCAGCGCATCAAGGCATTGCTTTTACACGCTTCGGTGGCCGTTGGGACTCCATTGACGTCGAAATATTCCTGCTCGCCTCTAGCAATGGCAACAAGTCTGGATAAAAATCTTGAGATAGACTTAGCCTCAGAAGGAGATACATGCACACACCGTCCCTGACACACAAGAGCGTATTCTCGGCTGACTATTTTCGCGCTGACATTAGTTTCAGAACGAGGTGCCAAACCCCATGCACCAGGACCGAATGCCCTATTCAAAATACGCCGGTATTTGATTTCGGGAAGGTAGATAAGACCATCTGTTGGTATAGGAATGAGCAGGCGCGCAATAAAGAAATGAAAACAAGTCACCTGGCTTGCATTCAATGTCGAGAGGATCTACGGGTGCAAGTAGGATATCGGAGGCCTCTTTTGGGAAAGCCTGCTGCGAAAGGCCGTAATAACTCTTAGACCAATCAGTGTGGCCTTCCTTCTCGCCACCAAAGGGTACTGGACCGTCGTTCGGTTGTGGGATCTCTCCCTCCCCGGCTTCACTCGCAGTGGCAAAACCAGCGAACCTGGGGGCTCGTAGAGCAGTCCTTGACAAGGTAAGCGACGGCCTGACGCCCAGGCCTCGAAGCGAGCGCGACTGGTTAGCCAAAACGCTCCGGACGAGGCTGGCCATTGTGGTACTGTTGAGACGGAATTTATAAATTTGAAACCCAGGAAAATACGGTTTTCTGACCCTAACCCTATGAATGTCACGTGATTAGGACGCGAAACCCTGAATTAGAGAAGTCAACAAATAGATGTCTACAAAGGCAGCGCTTTCTAGACGAATTTCAACTTATCAAATCCGCATCCAACCTCCACAATCGCCTTCATGAAATATGGATGATCAGTTGACAAGCATACGAACTCTTATACAAGACTCTCTGGACGATGCAAGGGCTCCCTTTCTGCTCAAATGACAACTTGCTGACTTTTGAGTCTGATAGATTGTGTCCCCTCGCACGGCTTCTCCGAGTAAAACGACGGCCCTGCAGCGCCTAGAGTGTCAACTTTCGATCTGTGTTCAGAAGGATTCAGAAATCTTCGACTTTTTCGTAGCTTTACAGTACACTTTTGAGTGTAATGGTGCGCATCACGTTGGCCTGCTTCCTTATAGGCTGACCTGTATGCAGTACCACTCCGGTTAATACCATGGATAGCAGAAGTTTCAACTAAACTTCAAACTCTCTTAAATAAGGGGGCACCTGAAGGTTCAGCAATTCTACTGTCTTACCCAGCTCATTACTAATGACAAGAACAGTTAGCAATAGCGTCCAAATATCACAACTCTTGGACCAGCTCTCACTTTCCTTGTCTCTTATTCAAGGCATTGTCATGTTGCACCCCGCCAGCAAAACGTATCTTGGTCGGAAATATCCCGTGGAGGTGTGTCGCCACTAGAGAGTTTGATGGCAATTAAATCTGACAGGCCTTGAAAGATACTCATTGATCTGCTCCTGACTTCGCGCCATACGCCTTGTCCATCTGATCCCAACCCGTCCGGCTCTGTTCCTAAAACCCGAGAATCGCAGGCGCCACTGTCTTCCATTGTCATGGATGCTCTCCTTTGCATATTAGTAGACTCTTCTACTGCTCTGCGCTCGTTTGAAGAGTGCAATGGAGTCCAAGCTATTGTTAAAATCCTCAAACGTGCTGGGACTCCTCGTGAAGTTAGGTATGTCATCCTCCGCGTGATCGGCGGCAAGTATTTGACATTTCAACATTAGAATGAAATGCTTGGAGTTTTTGTACTTCTATCTGCTCGACGAGAGTCCTTCTGCAGAGACTGATGAGCATCACACATTAGTGCCGCTCATTAACACTGCTCCGGCGACACCTATTGCTACGGCGTCCTTGCGACCGAAAAAACCATATATCAACATGACGCCAACGCGTCCAATATCGCGTTATGGCTCCTCCACTTATTCCTTCTCATCTGGCCCTGGGAGCACGGTATCTACCTCTCCATCTGGGTTCACAACGAGCTCTGGAAGCACAACCCTCTCTACAAGCTCCAGCACCTTCTCTTTAGGCCAAACGTCCCGGTCGACATCAGCCAGCTCTGCTAAATCATTTTCATCAACGTCATCCGTTGCCTCAACCTCGACTGCTGCGTCCTCTGTACAGTCATCTCCAACAAAGACGACGGCAGACCCTTTGCCTATGCCGAAGCCACTGGCCAGGGTCCCTTCGCCAGTGTTCAAGCCGAAGTCTCTGCACATGTTGCAGCGGGACCTCGATTTCGTGCCTGAGAGTCCGCAAAGGTCCACAGCGAGCTCTGTTGCAAACACGAGCCTCCTGCGCCCTCAGCATGGGAAAAGTGCGTCTCAATCAAGTACAAGATTTCGATTGGGATCTGCCTTTGTTCTTGACAGGAATTCCAAGACGATGAGGGTTGTAGAAAAGGTTCGGACGACGGAGGAAAAGAAGGCAATTCTTGGTACGATGCTGGGGAATGTCGATGCGTTGGTTGAGGGTGTTCGGAAAGCGGGGGTTTGGGGGCTAAGTTAGGTGTCGGTCCATAGATATACGTACAGCATTTTGAGATACCCCTACAATCGGAATAATTCACGGACAAGGAAATCACTGAAGAGAAAAGTGAGAACATTAACGTGATTATAAACACACTGTATGATTTCCCGCCATGTACTCAACCGCCACAGTTGTTCTACTTTTTCTCGGAAACAACTTTTGTAATCGCAGCATCCATGAGCCCTTTCTCCTCTTCCTCCGTCAGATGCCCAGCATTCACCCTTGCCAGTGATGTCGCGCGCGACTTGACTTCATCATCAAGGTCATCGAACTCGTCTTGTTTCACAGCATATATTGAATACGAGTACACCCCCACGGCGAATGCACCCAAGACAAACCCCGTCAGGGCATTGGGTATACGAAAGGGTTCGCGCGCGCGTTTGAGCCCGGGGGACATGGCCTGTGTTCGAACCTTGAGGACTGAAAGAGATACAAGCTGGGAGAGGGAAACGTACCCCGGCTTTGGGTCGGTATGATTTAGCGACTTTGCGCGGGTCAACGTATCGTTTTGACCAGCCTTCCATGACTGAAGATCGTGGCGGATAGGAATCAAAGAGACGGTTCGGCAAGTGGTAATCAAAGTGAAAGAGTAGCGAGCGAATCTGAACGTGACACAAGGATTGAGCAGTAGGACTCCATAGCTAAGTGGTTATAGCATGAGATTGCAGTTGTGATGCCTTTCGCATTCACTATCTCGGGGTCGCGTGTTCGAGTCACGCTGGGGTCTTGTTTTTATTGACTGTCACTTTTCTGGCAATAAGCAGGTCCCAGGTATCAGCCTTCAGGATTCAGTGATCCACCCTCCTTTTCTCTGTTCTCAGTTCGATGTCCTGGAACAGGCTGTTCAGTCTACCACCAGGGTAGTCCCCCGGCTCGAGGCGAATTGATTTTTTCCAGGTAAGTTATGATGGCAGACGTTGGCGGTTCATGATGTCAATGTGTATAAGTTGACCTTTGTTTTCAACTTGCGTACCGCTAATCGAACTTGAATCGAACTTGAAGTTTGAACACAAACTTTGGGTTTTCAAACATCTGTATCAAATCAATCAAACCGCGGCATCCATACCACTGCGGTCAGTGAATCGCTTTGTCTCTGACTCGTACCTTGATGTGTTCGATTATGGATCTAATGCTCAAAGAAATACTAAGCCATCTTCGCTTTGATTTCCCTTATTTCTTCCAAGGAGTCAGGCTCCTTTTTGCAAAATCACGGGTCTGGGATTCTCATGGATTCGGTCCAACGGATATGTGCCTCAGACTCCGAAATGTCCTTGTTGCGTCAAAGTATATGGCAGTATCGATTCGTTCCCTCATCTTGATGTTCTTTTGGTCTTCGATAGAGAGCGGCACTGGCTTCTTTCTGTCCCCTACTACAGCTCATCCCTAACCTGCAAAGGTTCTCCAAGTGGCAACTTGGGTCCAGAAGGTAAACCTAGAATATAAGAAGTGGAAGTAGATGATGATGGCTTCGTGCTCTTCCTGCAGCGTTAAGGGAAATGAGAGCAAGTAGACGTGGTGATACCTTGGCAGGCAGAGTGATCACAGCGAACGTTTGCGATTGAATCGCAAAGTGAATGTGCTTTCAAAGTTCATCAAGCTCGGCGCCGGGCGGATGGCCATGACCTAGTAAATTTTGTTCCGGGATACACTGCTATCAGCCTACTAATTGCTAGTCTCCTAGACAGAGGTCAATATCACTTTAGGTTTGTTGGCGTAAGTCATCTGGTAGAAAGCGGCTTATAATTCAGTTGTACCTGAGGCTGAGACGGTGACATCTTGATCAAAGATGGAAAGAAATGTGAAATCCAGATACACGGTTCATCTGTTACGCTGTTGATCATCGATAAGCAAAAGTTCAACCATTGATATAGGGTCTAGTAAACAGCATCTACAGTGTCATACACGCAATCTAAGGTGTGGCACGTCCAGGCCACCTAAAACACATCATAAGCTAGTACACTGCAAACAACGAGGAAGGACAAACCTTGGATAGAGGGAACATTCTCTCACTGTATACCTGTTCGCGAGCCACGCAAGGAATCGCTTAACATGGGACATTAATATGGGCATTGGATGCAAGACCCATTGATCAAACATACCTCGACCCCCAATCCATATCCACCATGCTCGCAAGTCCCATACTTACGCTGATCAGTGAACCAGTAATACGGACCTGGATCAATTCCTTCGCGCTTATATGCCGCCAGCAACTCCTCCATATCAGAAATCCTCATCGAACCACCTACGATCTCGCCGACGTTCGGCATCAGTAGATCACAGCTTTCTGTGTATACAGTTTTCGCGCCCTCTTCGGCTGGTAGCTTCTTCATGTAGAACGCCTTGAGCTCAGCCGGGAACGAGTGCAAAAATATTGGCGTCCCAATGATGTCCGTCATCTGTCTCTCTGCAGCCTCCGCGATATCATCTCCAACGGCATGGTCTACCATCTTTGCCTGGCCTGATTCATCGAGGATGGCATTCCCCTCTGCATCTTCCGCCGCGTGTTTGATTCCATGTTCGACAAGCCATGCGATAGCATCAAAGTACGACATGCGCTTGAACGGCCGTTCCGGAGTCTTGAATCCGGGGTTGAGTTGCTGGATGAGGCCCGCTGAGACGGGGTTGGCCGAGAGCTGGTCAACTGTTTCGCAGATGATTGTCTCGATGTGATCCATGAGGTCGTCAAAGCTGATGAACGCGAGCTCAGCCTCAAGATGGGTATACTCGCTCAGATGTCTTCTTGTGTGGCTGTTCTCAGCTCTGAAACTTTCTTGGACACAGAATACGTCCCCGAGACTGGGCAGGCATGTCTCGAGGTATAATTGAGAACTTTGTGTGAGGTAGGCAGGCTGACCATAGTAGTTTAAACTGAAAAGGGTGGCACCGCCCTCGACTTGTGTCTGCACAAGACACGGCGGGGTTACTTCGAGTAGATGATGGTTGACCAGGGAGTCGCGGAAGGCGCTGAGTAGATATGCGCGGAGCCGAAGAACAGATGAGGCGGTCTCTCCTCTAATGACCAAATGACGGAGATCAGCTTGAATAGACGGGTCAGATTTCTGATAGCAAAATTAGAGCTCATACGAACAAATGAAGAATTAAATATACCTCATTTAAGCGGTTTGTAAACGCATCGTCAGCTCCAGGGGCAGCTCCCACGACTTTCCAGTAGTCAACGATAAGTTCATGTCCGCCCGGTGCTGTCTTTCCCTCTGGGACGACTTGCAAGGTACCGACAAGCTCAATTGATGACTCAAGCGTCAGAGTCAAGGCATCGTATGTTTGGCTCTGCAATATAATCAATATCTTTTTATGCACGACAGCCAGAAATGTACGTACGACTACACCCGAAAGAACTGTCTGTAGATATCCAGTTCCGTCTCTGAGGACCACGAATATGATACCTTTTTGGGATCGCAGTCGGTGAACCCATCCAAATACACGGACGCGTTGAGAACGTAGATCAGATAGCTGGGATATCTTTGCCTGATCACACGAGTCGAATGAGACGTAAACGAAGAGTAAACCATGAGAAGCCTACCTTCTTGGCTGAAGGCAAAGATGCGTCCTCCGTAAGAACAATCTTCTTGCTCTCTTCGAGCAACTTCTCCCTCTTCTCCTGCTCATCACCCTGCGCCTTTGCTTTTTGCTCCGCAAGTTCCTCCTGTTTTTTGCGCTTCTTCTCTAGACCATCAGCGGTCTTTTTGGCCTTTTTCAGCGAGGACTGGGTAGGTTCCTCGTATGTCACCGAAGAGTCTTTTCGAGTCAGAAAGCCGTCTGATGTGCCGTGCGTAAAAAGAGCAAAGGCCAGCGACTGATAAGGCTGATCTGGGGTGCCCTTCCCTGTGGTATCAGAGCCTGTGGATTCGTCGATATGTATGGGAGCCATGGGAATCTCTATAACGCGATAATACGCGTAGGTAAAGGTATCAAGTCAAGATGCGAAATGGTGACTCGAGTGAATGCTTTTACTTGTTATGGAAGGATAGATAAATAAATTCTCAAATAAATCACCCGAAGTCGGCCCGACGTCGCAACGTAGGTCAGAAACCCTATCCTTAATGATCTCTATTAGTCCTGGAATACCATGCATTTCTGCGATTGTACAGATAACAAATATAAAGTACAATAACTAGATATATGAATATATATATGAAGTCCGAGACCCCCTTAACAAGTTTTGAAGATTCGACTAATACTCCGCCGGGGGATAGTCTATGTAACCCTTCTTTTCTGTTTCCATATCCTTCCCATGCCCATACAATGTAGTAATATCCAACTTTCCATCCAACGGCTTTCCATACTGTAGCCGCTTAGCGAAATCTGGGTGTGCAATCCACGGAAGACCGAAGAACACGCCTTCGATCTTGCCCTGCTCGATATAACGAGCAGCCTCTTCACCTGTGAAACCAGCATTCGCAAACGCCTTTACGTTTTTCAAGAGAGGCGCATATGTGGCAACGATGTCGTGTTTAGTAGCACGGGGGCTACCGTCGATGATAGCATCAAGGTACTCCGTCCACCGTACCAAAGTGACATAAGCGATTTTCAGCTTGTCAAGTTCGTTGATAAAGTAAGTGAACGTGTCAATGGTCTCCTTCAGTGGCATCCTGTAATGTATAAGTAAGAATACCGTGCTGGAGAAGGCTTCATGGCAATCACGTACCCTTGATCATTGTATCCACCAGCAGGAGTGAGTTTAATAGCCACACGATCTGCACCCCAGACATCAACGAGGATCTTGACGACTTCAAGACCGAACCGGGAGCGGTTTTCGATGCTGCCGCCCCATTCATCGGTACGATGATTGGAAGTATTATCAAGGAACTGGTGGATGATATATCCACTGGCTCCGTGTATTTCTACACCATCAAAACCGGCTTCTTTTGCATTGATGGCTGCCTGCTTCCACGCCGGTAGAAGCTTGCCAGGATCACCGATGACGGTCGGAGTAACATAACCAGGCTGTCCGGGAAGGAACCTGAACTTCCCACCTCGGGCGGATATAGCAGAGGGGGCATAAACGGGCTATAACAGACAGTCAGCATTGTAAGATGCGTAGCATACATACATACAATCGACGTACCTCTCCAGATGCAATTTGTTCCGGCGCGTCTGGATGGCTAACGCGTCCAACTAGATAAACAAATCAATACGGCCATGTCCAGCATGTACCAAACAAGACTAACGATGCCAAAGCTAGAAGATATCCAGTCAAGAGACGTATACCAATATGAATAGAGTGTATGTACCTGCGCAAATACGAGGGATCCCTCAGCATGTACAGCATCGGTTATTTTTGTCCACTGCTGGACTTGTTCTTTTGACCATATGCCAGGTGCGTTCTGCCATTCCGATCTAATGCGACAGGATTAATGCAGATATCTCCACCGCTTATAAATGCACATACCCTTGCTGGCTGATAAGGATACCTTCGGCGACGATAAGCCCGGCACCGCCCGCCGCGCGTTGCATGTAGTATTCGACATTGATCTCGTTGGGGATATTGGTGGGGACGGAGCGGTTGCGCGTCATGGCAGACATAAACACCCTATTCTTAAGAGTAAGAGGTCCAAGTTGTAGAGGCTGGAAAAGAGCTTGTAAGCTAGTAAGCGCTGACATCGTAGTCGAAGCTAAGAAATACGAGGGGTGTTTGAAAGTAATGAATGCATCGTGGGCTAGCCCTTTATAGCCCGGAATGTTACTAGATCAAATTGGGTTCGAATT